TTCCCACTGAAGTGGTACCTATTTATCTACTTGCAATTTCTTGCTTTCGAACTGCTAGGTTGGCAGGAGCTGGAACTAGAGACGGGAGCTCACTCCGTCATGCGGCACACTCGGGTCTTGAACTGCTGAACTACCAACCTTCCACAGCCTGCAGTTCAGCGTCTTAACCACTTGAGCCACCGCAGCTCAAGTGCATTTTATTGTACATGCTTACAATAGGGAAATATATGCTCTTTATAGACACACGCTGCTCTTTACAGACACACACTGCATTGCACGACAATGATCATGCACAGGCAAACAACAGTACTTCTCGCACAGTGATAACATCATTTCCTATTTAACATTCCCTAAAGTTCCCTTTCGAACTGATCTCCTTTCTTCTTCCTTTTCTTTCCATGTACTACAAGATGTATTATGATGTCGGGGATCACCAAGTGATTTTTTTTTTCCTTATAGCAAATTACAACTGGGGGAGGAAAGTGTACTAGCCCACCCCCTAACATAACTTTTATATAATGAGATATAGCGTATATGGTGCTGGATGAAACCTATCAGGATGCAGGAAAATGTTCTTCCTTCTAAATTCATCTTGAAAGTGAGATGCTTCAAACCATCAAAACTTGGTTCAGTTAATAGCTAATTCAGCACATAGCTCACAAATTCCTCTTCTCCCTTCTAAACTATCCATACGCTTTCCTTTGGTTTTTAGCGCAAGAGCTGGCAACCAATCATCCAATGATTTCTCTGCTCCTTCCACCAAGCCTACCTTTTCTTTCCTTGCTGTACTTCATGTGGAACCAATATACAGAACCTCCTGCACGATGCCCGTTTTGCTTCCTTCAAACTCCTAAGCATCGACTTTCCCCATAAAACCTCTGACACAATTCCTTAAGTCCTCCTCAAAGTAAGCTTAAAAGATCAACAAGATTTCCGGGTTTCGAGAGTCAAAGCTCCCTTCATATATATCTTCCACCTCTCCCACCTTCGTGTGAAATTCCAGATGATAAACTCGTCAGGCTGTCTTCTTGTACAGCGAATGCTTACAAAGCTATATAAAATAGTTAACTAATGACATACGTGTGCTATAGCACACAACAACCACAAGCCCTCACAGCAGAAACTTTACCAATATAAATTGGGGTATAAATGCAATCTCTTCTCTTCTTCAATAATCTACATTGGCACAAAACATCACAATGAGACAGGCTTGGATCCTATGCAGTATTGGCAGAGCTGTGCTATGCATGAACAGGAACTCTCCCTCCTTTTCCTCTCTCCTGCCGCGGTTGTCCAGGCTCTCTGAAATCATGCCCCTGTGGGTCAGGGGACCCTCTGGAACATCAAGGGGGCTAAAAGGCAGCACTGAGAGGCAGGGAATCGGCAAAAATCACCCTCTACCTCATCCATAAGAGGAAGTGTCTTCCTCAAAGAGTCTCTGCCCAGTATAAAATTTCAGATGCAACAGTAAATGAAACTGGCATTTTGGGAACACACGTGCATGTTCCTGGATGTTACTGGGAACACCCCCCGCCCCCAAGAAAGCCTGATGAAATATGTGCAAGGGAAACAGAACTCCCGCAGGGCAACACACAGAGTCACCCATACAACATGGCTTGTTCTGTGCTGACCTTTATTATGGAGTAAAATGCAGTCCTAACGTCCTGAGCATTAGATTTATGAGCGTCCCATGCTCAGATTTTTCCTGTTATCCGTGTGAATTGGACAAAATGTAATACTGAAACATTCCAAGCTTTTCTGAGTTACATTATTTTCTCCCTTAAAAAAATTTTTTTTTACTTCACTTGTACCCGGGGCGTTCTCCCCTAGTGGGGACCAATGCTCCCTCTAAGCTGTGGAGTCTTGTGAGCAAAAATTCTACATTGTGAGCTTACTGGCATTCAAGTTGTGAGCGAGCGATTTGGCCGCTGCGTAAATCAGTTTGCTCTGGAGCCGTCCCTTCCTGAGCTAAGAAGAAAATGTGTGAGCCGGAGGCTAAAGAACCGTGAGCCGGCTCACACTAACTCAGCTTAGAGGGAACACTGGTGGGCACCCAAGGCAGCTGACATCATTCTCCCCTCCTCCATTTTATCCTCACGAGAGCTTTGTGAGGCAAGCTGGGCTGAGAGCACTGTCCCCTCTAAGCTGAGTTAGTGTGAGCTAGCTCACAGTTTTGTAGCCTCCAGCTCACACATTTTTGTCTTAGCTCAGGAAGGATGGCTCCAGAGCAAACTGATTTATGCAGTAGACAGATTGCTCGCTCACAACTTTAATGCCAGTAGCTCACAAGGTAGAATTTTTGCTCACAAGACTCCACAGCTTAGAGGGAACGTTGGCTGAGAGTTTGTGATTGGCTCAGGCTTCCATGGCAGACTGGGGCTTTGAACCTAGCTGTCTTGGAATCTAGCGTGACACTACACCCGACACCACAATAGCTTCTGAGGCAGTGATGTCAATGGCCTGTTTCCAGACTTTTCTAGTGTCCCAAATTTTAGCTTTCCTGATCAAGCACCTTTGAAATATTCAGGAATACATTTTGCATACCTTTTTTTTGGGAAGGAACATTGTACAAATACTGGATTTTCAAAGGCTTCTAGTAATTAGGCATGATGAACAGTGAGTGTACTCATTTTCAGGTTTCACACTAACGTAACATTAACCAGGGGTCATTTCCTGCAGGAGCGCACAGGAGCGGAGCTCCGGCAGTAAAGAGCCCAGGGGGCGGGCACATGCAACAAGCCCCACCCCCTGCTCCCAGTAGTCCTCAGTCAGATCAAGAAGCAGACAGGTAAGCTGCAGAGCCCCCCCCCTGGCCCCCCGGTCCAAAACAGTCCAGTGGCAACTTTAAGACCAAGTTTTATTCAGGTACAAGAGAGGGCAGATCTGCACATTCCCCCCCCCCAATAGCTAGCAATCCAAAACAGTCCAGTGGAGCCTAAGCGGTGGGTGTTGCCTTCTGACACACTTCCGGTGATGGCAGGGTGTGTGGCACATGCAAATAAGTTATGCTAATGAGTTATGCTAATGAGCTCCTGCACCTCTTTTTCTACGAAATGACCCCGCTTTGACCATAACCATTTCAGGGCAAATGTTGATTTCCCTTTGGACAAGCTGCTCAAAAGGGGGCTGGACAAGTTGCTCAGATTGGCGCAGGCTATCTGAAGAGTACCCAACAAGGTCTGCTAGCCGAATCCTTTCCTTTCATTTATTAGCTTAATTGACCAGAGGTCTTAAGCCAAACGTACAGAATGGATCTTGTGGAGTGGTAATTTCACACTTCCTCCTGATGCTGAAGCACACTTGAGCTCCTGCAATTTCGTCCCTGGGGAACAGGCTCATTAACAGCATAGGGGTCAAATTGGGAGCCTGCAGAGGGAGGGTGTATCAGCAGGTACCCATCTCACCCCCAAGGCTAAAATACAAATGATGACAAACACAGGCAAAGAATAAAAGCAGCACAGTTGCTAAGAAACCTGTGTGTTTGGGAAAGCACATTTTAGCCTTTATTATACCTTTATTGAAATGTCTGATTGAGGAGAAAATATTATCACTTCAACCAATGTTATCACCAAAGTATGTTACAAAGAACCAGCACCCCAGACAAATGGAATCTGTTACTGAAGTCCTCAGGGCTTTTTTTGTAGAAAAAGTCCAACAGGAACTCATTAGCATAATAGGTCACACCCAGCAGCAGAAATCCATTAGCATATTAGGCTACACCCCTGACAGCACAGCTCCTTAGCATATTAGGCCACACCCCAACACCTCCCTTTGGCTTGCCCGGGCGCCCCGTGGCTGCGGGGAGCACAGGGAAGCCGGCCCTTGGACAGGCTGGGGAAGGCACGGCAGGGGCCCCCCTGGCCCGCCCGCCTCGGAGTTGCAAGGGGGGGGGTTCACTCTCCGGGCCTTCCCTCTGTAGCCACGCACGCTGAGGTTTTAGCTGTAGTAGGTGTGGCCAACTCTGAAGCCAGCCGGAACATAGCCCTGGAAGTCCTGAAAAAACTAGTTGCACCTCAGTAGAAATCCTAAAATTCAGCCATTGACAATTACTCCTCTTCTAAACTTTACACTGTTTCAATTGGGGAGTAAAAAAAACCCACACACCTGATAAATCACAGCTTTCGATCCGTTTGAGATCTGCATCCACCCAAAAGAGTTTCCCAAGCTTGTTGTCAATCACTAGAGCAACTGGACGGAGTAAGCCAGTTGTGAAGAGCACCTCTCGTTCTGTGCCATCCAGGGCTGCGCGCTCAATCTTTGGGGCTCGTTCTTGCATATTGGTGAAATACATATATCTGATAAAAAGTATGAACAAGTGCTGTTTCAGTTCACAAAGGTTCGTGGGAAGAAGAGGAAATCTATTACTTGTAATCTCACCATGGAACATAGTATGGAGATCCAGAAAGGCTACGTCCAAACAGGACTCTCTACTGTTAAACGTCCCAGAATGATTGGCCAATATTTTTGCCCTTTAGGACCCTCTGAAGTAGAGGAAATCTCACAGCCACAACCTCGTACCTAAATACTGGCTATTTGGCAAGGGTTGAAGCCAAGCCAGTTTGGTGTAGTGGTTAAGTGTGCGGACTCTAATCTGGGAGAACTGGGTTTGATTCCCCACTCCTCCACTTGCACCTGCTGATGTGACCTTGGGTCAGTCACAAGCTCTGGCACAGCTGTCCTTGAAAAAGAGCAGTTTGTGTCAGAGTTCTCTCAGCCCCACCCGCCTCACAGGGTGTCTGTTGTGGGGAGGGGAAGGGAAAGGAGTTTGTAAGCCACTCTGAGACTACAAGTGAAGGGCGGGGTATAAATCCAATCTCTTCTTCTTCTCTTCTTCTTGTGGTCACTCAGCAGTGGTTTTCTGACTTTCTGTTATACCGATTAAGATCTTAATTTGAAGATCTGCTATAAAGTGCACTATTAATACCTCATTCCGTACATTGAAACAAATGGTATGAAAGCTATTATATTCTTAAAGCTAAATGGGGTTCACAGTCCCCGGTGCCTTGTGGGAAAATACACTGAAGTTCTATGTAACCTATGAGGCACTTCTCAGGAAAGAGTCGAGAATACAGGGATAATAAGATTCATTTAGGCTACATGAAGTTACAGTGCTGTAGCCAAAGATACTAGGGATGCTCTGTAAATTCTTTAAAAGGTAAAGGTAAAGGTTCCCTTGCTCGAAAGCCAGTCGAATCCGACTCTAGGGTTGCGGTGCTCATCTATCTCCGTTTCAAAGCCGAAGAGCCCCCGCTGTCCGAAGACGTTTCCGTGGTCATGTGGCCGGCTTGACTAAACACCAAGGCGCACAGAACACTGTGACCTTCCCACCGAAGTGGTACCTATTTATCTACTTGCAATGTCTTGCTTTCGAACTGCTAGGTTAGCAGGAGCTGGAACTAGAGACGGGAGCTCACTCCATCATGCGGCACCCGGGTCTCGAACTGCTGAACTACCGACCTTCCACAGCCTGCAGTTCAGCGTCTTAACCACTTGAGCCACCGCAGCTCCTGTAAATTCTTTAATAACATACAAAAGAAGCATTCTCACCCTCGCTCGGCATTTACGATGATGGCTCTTGGTTTATCATGGTCTCCCCGCAGCACCACTCCAGTCTGTTCTCCATCAAGTCTGTGGACATTGATCGTATTGGTGGCTTCACAGGTCCAGAACAAAGTATGGCTGTAAATGTCAATACTCAGGTCATGTGGCTGCTTCTCTGGATTTTGACTTTGGTTGGGAGTACTCATGATTGTGAAAGGCTGTGAGACCAAAAAAAAAAAAAAAAACCATATAAAATATTCATGACAAATGTAAGCCCACAGGAGAGATTGGTTTATCATGGTCTCCCCGCAGCACCACTCCAGTCTGTTCTCCATCAAGTCTGTGGACATTGATCGTATTGGTGGCTTCACAGGTCCAGAACAAAGTATGGCTGTAAATGTCAATACTCAGGTCATGTGGCTGCTTCTCTGGATTTTGACTTTGGTTGGGAGTACTCATGATTGTGAAAGGCTGTTAGACCAAAAAAAAAAAAAAAAAGCCATAGTAAAATAAAATATTCATGACAAATGTAAGCCCACTGGAGAGAATAAATGTGAAGAAATTACAAGGCACATCTAAAAAACAGAGATGGCATAGGATTAAAGTTGATTGATTACATCAATTAACGTGATTTAACCAAGTAAATCCGAAGAAGCTTATATGCAAGTAAAAACTTTATGTCTGTAGGGAGAAAAACATGTTTGTAGGTGATCCCACATGTGTTACAGGGCGGAAGGCATTTTCTTCTAGGCAAGACAAAAGGGTCACGGTCTCTTCAAATATGACATCTATTACTTGCTGATTTTGTATTAAAAGTCTTTTAAAATAATCTGCTCCCTGATCAGCTAAATATAGCATTTCTGCTAATAAAAATCCAGTAGAAACAGGTGATTATAGTGAACAATGGTTGTATTAAAAACAGCTTGTTTTTCATTGCTGTTTATTCACTGATACAAGTAATCTACCTTCGATCCGAGAATGGTTTGAAAAATTATCAGAAGAGTTTTAGTGTAAACAAACAAAACCTTCTTATATAATGATGTCTACGTTACAGGCCTATCCTATTTCTTATCATCTGAGAAAAAACAGATATTCAGGGTAATCTAATATCCAAAGATGAACAATGATGTTGAGAAAATGCTAATTAACAGAATTAACTGGAATATAAAGGTAGCAAAAATTACTCAGTGAACAATCAAAACTGCAAACTTAGAAACCAAAATGTCCTGAGGAGGTACTTCTTCAAACACTAAAACTCTTTTTTGTTTATGCTGTACAACAAGCGGCATCATAACAAGTAGTCTCCATTGTAATTTGCACCTAGAAAGGGCCACTAATGGGAAGCTACTTAGCAATTAACGCCTGGTATCCCTCAAAGAGCAGGCCTGACATTACAAGGCCTTTCCTTACTACAAACAATACTTCATTAACTAGTAAGAAAAATACTGAAGAAGACTAATCACATTATCCTACATGGCATTTCCCCCCCACTCGCTTGTGAGACATGGAGCTGTTTGCAACACATCGATGGAACTAGGAGACAAAAAGAAAATACTGGAAATACAACTCAGATCCCATATGAGAGACTGACTGGCCCAACACCATTATGGTCCAGTGTCAACTATGTGCAGAGAGATTTTCTGGATAGGGATTTAAATTTCTTTCTAGCAGACAAGAGTCCAGCAATAACACTATCTGTCGCTGAATTTTTGACTTATGTATGGAAGTCAAGAGTAGTACTTTGTAAATCTCGTAAACCATGTTAGGATTGCTTTGTATTTTGAGATAATGGGAATATTGGTTGACGTTGTTTTAGTACTATCCCTTAAATTTTGCCTTTGTTCTGGTTATCTGTGTTATGCCAATAAAGGTTTTCTGTTCTGTTAACTATGGGGGTAGCCCCATTTGGCACTTTGCATTTCAAATGGCTCAGAGTTTGTCCAATATAAACGATTGTTCTGAATATCTGCTGGGCATTAAACAAAATGCTTGTATAACTAGACAGTATATTCAAAAGAATCACGACAGGGACTATGCAAAGGCAATAGTGGTCTTCTTCATCATCATACTAATGTTAGGAACAGGCCACGGGATTGTGCCCTCCCTTCCCTCAGGCCCCTCCCCTCAGAGCAAGCTCTCTCCTTAGAGACCAATAAGGGTTTGGGGGTATGAGCTTTCCAGAGCCTTCATCAGAGACTGCAGACCAACACGGCTACTCTCTGGAACTGCCTTCACTAAGTTTAAGTGTTACAGTCTCAACACTCATCATTTAGTTACTTAAAACATTCATATCCCACTTAAAAAAAAAAAACTGGACTCACAGTGGCTTCCCCATCAGAATTTAAAACAATCCCTCCAGATTAAAATACCACATAGACAATGAAACAGCCCTTTGTGCCACTGTTCACTGTATGATCGTGCAGGGTTGCCAGATCCGCTGGATGAGCGGGACGGGGAAGGGGGGCACACTTATTGTGAGCAGGGAGGGAAAAAACAGGAAATAAACACAATGATGTGGGCATGTTGGGGATGGCGCTCTGGTTTTCGGGTAAAACTCTACGGTAGAATTAGCTTCTTACCATAGAGTTTTGCCCCAAACCCAGAGTGTCGTACCCCCAATGTCACCAATGCGCCTATGTCACCGTGATGTAGGCATGTCATGTTTATTTTCCGTTTCTTGCTTGCCATTCTTGATAGCCTAAAGCTGGGGGAGGGGCTCCAAACCAGGAGATTCCCTGCCCCCAACTGGGGACTGGCAACTCTGTAACTGCCCTAAGAGGTGGAAGGCCTGTACTTCCCATCCACAGCCTCTTTCAGTGTAGTGGTTAAGGTGCCTCTTAAAAAGTTTAAAACCCAACATAATAACTTCTTATTTTACACAACGATATCTAAGAAATTTTTGGTGGGGGAGGGGGAACAGAATAGGAGACAGATTATGTCACCGGTTGTTGGTGACAGAAGCTTTTTTTTATGTAACAGAAGCAAAAACAGTACAAGCACAGGTACGTAATCCGAGACTTGCTAAATATGGTTTTAAATGGGATGTGTACGTAATATGGTAAATACCTATACCTACACACTCGTTTTACAAATACAGAGACACGCACAAGGGTATTAAAAACTTGCCTGAGTGCCATCATCTTTGGCTCTTTTAATAATATTCTGTCGTCCATCCACCCAATAGATCAATTTATCCAAGGGATCATAATCGATAGCCTTGACATTTCTTAATCCATGAATAGGAAGGATGATATCTGGGCTCTGCTGATCATCTGGTATCATTCGACTAATTGCTGTCTTCTGACTGAACAGCAAGAAACTGCTGGGTGCTAGAAACACAAAAAGAATAATCACTACCCAAAAACGGAAGGACAATACCTGTAAATACATTAAAGCTTTTGGAGATTTTTCCATTGGTATTGTATAGCTGAACAGTTAAAACCTTTAAAACAATTCTTTTTTTAAATAGCTTTCGGATGTAAAGGTTTCATTATTGTTATTGCTCCTGCAGTGCCTTCAATGTGGAAAGTATAATTCTTACAATGTACTTTTATGCTTTTAAAAAAATGTAATGGACTGGAATATTCGCAACAGGGAAAGCAAACCCAAACATTTAAAGTATGACAATCACAATTCTGTTTTTAAGAAAGCACGTCTCCAACAAAAACAAGTTAGTACAGTAGGAAAAAATGTTCTGCATGATGATTTTTTTTAAGAAGTTAAACACTCGATCGCTGCTCTTAGAACTCTTT